GCCGCCATACGATTTATATTTAGACCTCTGACGCTCTATAATTTTATAGGTACGTTAGACAGGCCTAATGTCACACCGTAATTGTATTTTGGAACCTCGAACCGTATCATAACAGGTTGGCTTGACCTGATCAGGATCGCGGCGCCTTTTAAGGAGCACTTCGAATCCTAAACCAATCGTCTGGGCATATTCCATATGGCCGTGACGCGAACGATACTGCGTCCTTTGTCAGGCAAGAGATTACATCCATCTCTAAGAAAGTGATCGTCTGGGAGTTAGCACTTGTTGCCCCTGACACAGTGCAGACTTGAAAGGCTCATGTCAGATATGCCCTGGAGACCTGTGTAAGTCGCGGAGTGGCTATAAAAGTCGCGATAGCAGGCGCAAAAAGGGGCCACGAAGCTGAAATCACCCAGACGTTAAACCCGCCGCGGATGCTTTACATCCAGTCCGCGATAGCTTTTTTATGAAGTTTTCATAATGCCCCATTCACTCGATAGTAGATGCGCGTTGAAGGTTAATTTTGATCAATGATCGGAGTCGTGGAGTTTTCTGCTTCGAATCCTGGTAGGACAGGCTCACGGTACCGATGTCCCAATGAACGTCAAAGACAGCCAGTTCAAGCTACTTGTTGCTGCGCATATGCAAACCCCCTTTTGCTCTCGAGCCGAACGCTGTTCCACTATGATTGAGGTCATGGATGGGTCATAAAGCCGCGGGTGTCTGATCACTGAAACGCCATGCATTTCAATCGTCCACCGACTACCTCGATGAGCATGACTTCCTGGAATGTTCATTTCCTCCAAAACCAGGCCGAAGCTCATACCAACAAAGATTTGGGGCAGCCCTCACGAGCGCTAATCATTCTCAACCAGCCATTCTCCCGTGCACTTTTTGAACGGCTATGGGATTCCTCCGCCTGGCACTGCTGCGCTGACGGTGGTGCGAATAGGCTATACGACACGTTCGCTAGTGATCTAGAGTCGCGTAGGGCGTAAGTGAGCCCCTCCTCCTTCTCGATGTCATTTTTTACGGTTCTGTCTTGAGCATAGATTTTTGCCCAACCTTATCAAAGGGGATTTGGACTCAATCCGTCGTGAGGTTCGGGAATACTACTCAGCTCAGGTGGGCTTTCCTTCCTTATTTTTCTCGGAAATTCCATTTTGGCTTACACGGTTCTATGTGCAACCGCAGGGTGTCCCAATCGTACAGGACGGAGACCAGAACTCGACTGACCTTATGAAATGCGTGGCCGCGCTCGAGATGAAGGAATGCGCTGAGGGTGCTCAGGTACATTCTCCCTACCCGCCTAACTATAAAGGCTCATTTCTAGGGTAGCAATATGACATCATTCTGCTCGGCGGGCTAGCGGGGCGTCTTGATCAGACAATACACACCTTGTCTTATTTACACAAGCTGCGTAAAACGCGCACTCGTGTGTTCGCAGTGACAGATGATAATGTGGGCTGGGTACTAGATGCGGTGCGTTGCTGGGCTTTCTCGTTCTCGAAAGATTGTCGCCGATACGGTGTATGAGACAGGGCGAGCATGTTATTGAGATCGACCACGATCTCCTCGGTCAGACGTGTGGACTTTTGCCTGTCGGGATCGACTCCACGGTCCTCACGACTTCAGGGTTACGGTGGAATTTGAGTGCGTCGTCCTATAGGTCTCTCTGCCTTCCGATCTGATTTTATATCCAGCCGAAACCGTATCGTCATTCGATGGGATGGTGTCGACGTCCAACCACCTCGTCCCGGAAGAGAAGGAAGTCCGTATTAAGACGTCGAAACCGATCTGGTGGACAGTGGAATTGAGGAGCACGGGGTTGGCGTAATTTAAATCTTTGCGACAAGTGGCGGGAGTCTGTACCACGTAGAAATCACATCTGTATTTTTAAAGTGTCAGATCATAGACCGCCATGCCTGCTGATATCGATTCCTCTCGATCCATCACTGTCCTCTACTTCGCCGCAGCCTCGACTGCAACTAATCTCACCGAGGAGCGTGTCCCTCTTCCGAGCGATGGCCCTTTTCTCCTATCATCGCTTGCGGCCCTCTTGGTCGCGCGCCATCCGAACACTGTGCTAGGAACAGTGCTGCAGGGAAGTCAGTGGAGTGTGGATGCGGAGATGGTGGACAATCCGGAGGAGACAGAGCTCAAGGGCGGTGAGGAAGTCGCTGTGATCTGTCCGGTGTCTGGAGGGTGAGAAGTGAGTTAGCGCGATGTGATTTTATACCCTATCCTGATCTCATCTCGAACCTGGCTCTCACAGATCGCTGTGCTCATTCCTCAATCTGTATATTACCCATCTACCCAACGAACAAGTGCTATGCATGCAGATGCCCCCGCGCGATCATCGGCATTCCAAGCAACCCGCCTGACACCCAAAACATATATGATAAAGGAGCACAACGACATATACTCAGAACATCCTTTTATGTATGTCAAGGTAGTGCCTTCATCTAATACTGTGATCGTCGTGGACACCGGGTGCGGCGGAGCATCCAATGATCCCAATACCGAGATCACAAGCCTGCGCGAATTCATAGAGACAGTTAGGCTAGAGGAGAACGAGGGCAAGCCACTGAACGAGGGAGGCGAGATGCAGTATGTGGTTGTAACGACCCACTGCCACTACGATCACATCCGTATACATATCCGCTATCATCTGGCTCCTCCATGCTAACACCCTGCCATCGCAGTCGGTATCGAACAGTTGTAGGCATAACTGCAGATCTTGGAATATCCTACGGCTAACTCTTCTTGTCTGTAGCAGCAAAGACTCCCTCATCTTGGCCTCATCGTATAACCCGGCGTTCCTCTCTCCATCTGCAATATCCGAACACTCGCTCTGTAATGCCTTGGGGCTCAAAACACCTTCTTACGCCCCCAACCTCATATCCGATCGCAATATCATCCCTGGAAGTGATGGCATGACTGTGATCCATACGCCTGGACACACGCCCGACGAGCTCGCGCTCTACGACGTCCAGGAGCGAATGCTTTACGTGGGCGACTCCCTATACGAATATGAAGAAATCATTTTCCCCAAGGAAGGCTCAATTGTGGCCTGGTTCGCTTCCATCGACGCCCTCATATCGCTCGTGCGATCCCAGAATGAAGTGGGGAATGGGAAGAGTGAGATCCTGGTGAATGCTGGTCACTGTACGGTAGCCCGGCCAGCTCGAGAGGTATTAGAAGCAGCGAGACGGTTCATGCAGAATGTTGTTGAGGGGAAAGAGGATGTGGTCAAGCGGTTGGTTGTCCGAGGGGAAAAGAATGTCGGGTACAGGCAGAAAGATGGCAGGTTCTCGCTGCGGTGCCCGGAGAGACTTGTAGAGGAGGCCAGGTCTCGGAAAGCGCATTTGGGATAAAATACAAGGGCCAATACCACATAAATTAGGCTTTAATGAGCGCTTATCGACCTTTTGATCGGAAGTCGCGTTCCAGCTGGGCTAAGAATGAGTCGGCATCGTCAGCTGAAGGCACCTTTCCTTTGCCCTTTCCGCTGGAGGATTTCATGCTCGCTTCTAGGGCAGCGAGAGGGTCCTGGGGGGTGGAGGGAATCGCTGCGTGAGCCACCGCTGTTGGGGGCCTTATCGTAGAGTCCAAAGCTGATTGAGATGGATCACCAGCACTGCCAGCGACCTTCCTCCGTTTCGCATCCACTAACTTCCTCCTTTCTTCCAGTTCCCTCTTCCGCTTATCCATCGCCCGACTCCTCGCCCCATCTCCGGTATCCTGCATGCCTTCCACCTCGCCAGGCCGCACGTTCACTGCACCCAACTCTTCTCTCACTCTCCCCGTTTCGTCGCGTGCACCCTTTAGCTCTTCCATCTGCCTTCGCCTTGTCTCCTCATCGCCGGAGAACTGGTAGAAGCCAGCGCCCTTGGCACGATTCTCGCGCGATGCGTCGTAGTGCACACCCAAGGGATTATTCTCCTCTGCGTGCGCGGCTGCAATCTCCGCGATCCGCTCAGCGCTGGGTTCGTAGATGGGGAAATGGTTCACAGGATTTCCTAGGAAAAGATAATTAAAATGAGAGCTTAGCTAGACAACGGCGGTAAGGGAGGAAGCTTACGGATGATAATATCCCTGCGTCGAAGTCTATAAGTGAATGATCATGAGGGAGGAAAGCGTAACATACTCGTCTTCGTCTCTTTCTTCCTGGGGTGCTGGTACAAGTTCTCGAGGAACTTCCGAGCGTCGTGCAGTCCTAAGACGTCCAAATTCATCTTCATATTCCACCATTGGGTCGTCCTATTCATTATTAGTAAGTAACCCTGCGTGAAAAGAGAAAGAGGCAATGAACGCATACCTCGTCACTTCTCAGTGGTCGTGCAACCTCCACTGATTCGTCTACATCATCGCTGTCCGATTCAAACTGCTCCGACAAGGTCTTGGAATCGAACTGGAAATATTGATCAAGAAGACTTCAACAAGACTCGCAACCTCCAGGCGACTAGTCACTCACGTCTACCAAGAGGGCATCGTACTGCTTATCGTTCAACCCGCCTGTCTTCCCCTTCCGCAGCTTTTCGTAGATCTTTGCTTTGCGCTCGAGCGCAGCACGCGCTGACTCTAGCGTCGGCTTGCTTACTTCCTCGAGCTCGACGTCTCGCGATGCACGCGCCTGTAGGCCTTTGTTTTGCCGGGCCCAAACGGTGGGTTTCTGAAGTAACATATGTAAATGAGATAGTCGGGTAGGAGGTTCTGAAAAACGCACCTTGTCTGGACGTTTGACGCCACCGACGATATAACTCGCCTTTCCTGCTACTTTGCTCTTGGTGAATTGTTCCTCTTGCTTGGAGAGCTCGGCCTTGAGATCGAGAAAAGAACTAGCGCTGACTCCTTTTGCTTTCGCCTTGTTGATGGGCGCCATACTGCCACCGGAGCAAAATGACAGTGGGCCAAGAGGAACTTGAGAGGAACTGACAAAGAGCAACTATATAATTTGTGATGGTCAGAAGCAAAGGAATCTGAGCGAACCAAAAAGATCCGACCTGCCTGGTTCGAACAGGCGACATCAAGATTATCCATTACAGTCTTGCGCTCTTCCAACTGAGCTAAGGTCGGAACATATCAACTACTGTTCACAAGTCACCACAATGTGATCAGAAGCACTGAGCTGACCTCAGACCTGGAACAGGGACGACGTTTTCTGTCAGTCACGATTCTCAACAAGAAATGAATTATTGAAGTCCAGTCTAAATGCATGAATCCAGATGTGTGCAAGATCCGAGTATGAAAGAGAATATTAGGAAGATGTGACGGGTAAATAGAGCATAAGAGGTCGTAAAGGGTCGTAAAGTGCAGAAAGTTATTGAATAAGTAGGGATTCGCTTCCAATCGTTATCGTTCTCGGTTTTCGTTCACATGATGACACACCACTTCCTCTTCTGCTCGCTCGTGGCCGACTCAGGTTCTTCATCAGAGTCATCAGAGTCAACAGACGAGACCTCCCCAGCTGCTGATGTGTCCGGCGCCTCGTCGACGGAAGCTGCAGTTTTCGCGGCAATGAACTCCCCTCGAGCAATTTCTAGTGAGGCCCTGCCTTCGTCGACAACCTTGTAGGACGGCGAGAACCAACTGCCTGGGAAGAAACGCGAGGAAGCGGTCGATTCAAGTCTTGTACGAGCTGATGTCGGAGAAACGGCGTCCGGCGATGCCAAAGAACCGTCGCTTACGGCATTTTCATTCAAGGGGGCGAGGCGTAGGCTATTGGTCCTATTTTAATTGTGAGAAACAATATATAACAGCTTAGAAACAGTTGGATACTCACTTGGTTTGCTCTGTCGTGTGCTCTGCGCTTTCCGCGGTGGGGAACACTTCGCCAGCTGCATCCAGCATTGGATCCGCTGCGTCAACAGTGACGGATGGAATGCTGTCATCAGGCTTGTCAGCAGCGGTATCTTGAGGCCCTTGCACCTCGCCATTGGTGGCTTCCACGGGCACAGCGCTCTCAGTGAGGGGCTCGAGAGCGTCAAGCTCTGCTTCTTCCGACGCTGTGTTGGGCCCTTGAGTAGTGACGGAGTAGCTTGGGGTCCATGGGCTCTTCGGGGGCTCTTGCTCCTCCGAATTGGCGGACAAAAGTGGGGCGACGTCATTTGCATTCGACATATCCTACGTGTGTTTTGAGCCAAGGCATCAAGTCAAGTTAACGATGTCGCATACCTTGTCATCGTCGCCATCGTCCACGACACCAAGAAGCTCTTTGGCTGCCACACGGACTTCGCTGGATACGACGTTATCAGAATCATCGTTCACGGACGGAACTTCAACCGTCTCCGCAAGAGCATCTGAAGCTTGGACGATGAAAGACGCCTATGTACAGAGAAAGGTGGTAATCAGAGGAGCTGGACGAGTTAATGATAAATCACTGACTGCATCGGAGGTCGCAAGGTTAAGTTCTTCCTCTTCGGGCAAGGTATCCGGGGTCACTACAATCTGGGGAGCGACTTCGGAAGCATCTTCAACAGCGACTATGTTGGGTTCGGCCGTCTCCACGAAAACAGATTCATCAACGGGTGTAACAGGCGCAGCAACCTGGTCCTTATTGAAGATTGTTTCCTCGAGAGGGTTGGAACGTTCCTGAGAAGGGCTACCCTGAACGCTAACAGAATACGACGCAACCCAAGAAGGCGATGCCGGTCTCTCTTGCTGGTAATGTGCAGTAAGAAGCGTCGAAGATTGTTCGCCATCATCAGCAGACGGCTAAAATGCATCAGTAGTCTGAATTGACGGAAATGCATAACACTTACCTGTGTCGCCTCGTCATTGGTATCTACGACCAGCTGCGGGACTTGTGCATCCGGTGCTGGTGCAATGTCCTCGACTTCGACGGCCTCGACCGCATTTGAAGGGGTGTCTTGTTCACTAGGGACTTCTGTGATCGCGTCGGGAGTGGCAGTCTCAACGGGCAGCTCGGCCTGTTCAAGAAGGGTCTCAGTTGGTGCCTCGTCGGTTTTCAAGGTCGTTTCTTGGGCTGGGACGTCATCGGCAACTGGAGCCTCCTCGTTGGTTGCGAATTCCATGTCCTCCAATTCGGCCACCTCATGTTCCTGATTATCAATGAGTTCGCTTTGGGGAACAGGGGCCTCTTCAACAAGCTCCGCTTGCGTTAAGAGAGGGCTACCCTGGGAGTGGACAGAATATGAGGGCGTCCAGGACCGCGGGGGTTCCTCCTGCGTATCAACTTCTTGGAGTTCGGAATTGCTTGGGCGTGGACTTCCTTGAGAGTGCACTGAGTATGAAGGCGTCCAAGAGCGGGGTTCTTCGGTTGGTTCCTCGAGTGAAGACGTATCAACAAGCAACTGTAGAAAATCAGGACAGCTAACGACGGAACTTAACGGCGAACGGACCTGCGGGGGAGCAACAGTAGTATGGTCTGCATCCTCAGTGAATTCCTCAACTTCAGCCGTGATGGGTGCGGCGATTAGTAGCTCCTCCTCAACGGGCTTGGATTCTTCCTCTTGGACTTCGGCACTGGTAGTTTCCACCTCGGCGGTAGGTATGACAGTCTCTTCGGACTCTGCTGCCTGTTCCTCCTCAGGTTCTGCTCCCCGACCGACAGTCGTAACTTGGAATGAGGGCATCCAGGGAGACTTGGGCCGATCGATTTCTGTCTCAACGACGAGCGAGTCGTCCTCGAGGGGCGCGGAACGGACCTGATTGCTAGGTTCAGTAACATATTTTTTAATCAGCAATTGGACGAACCTCAACATCAACAGTGGACTCCTCTGACTGGATGTCGGCAGAGGAAACGGTCTCTTCCGAAGCATATGGCGTCTCCGAGACGACTTCAGGTACGATCTCAGTGTTGCTTTGTTCAGCGATTTCCATATCTGCTTCGGAAACTACTTCTGCCGGCTGTTCTTCAGCAGCAGGGATCTCATCTGGCTGGGCGACCATTGGTAGCTCCGTCGAAGAAGATACTTGATCTACGGGTGCAGATTCCTCGACAAATAAGTCGCCTTGTTCAGCGGTGTCGGCGGCGGGCGCTGTAGCGGGTTCATCAGCCGACACAGGCACTTCCTCTGATACGGTAGTTTGCTCTTCCGACGGCGCACCCTCAGCACATACGAGTGCCTCTGCAGCGGGGGCGACAGCCTCTTCTTGCTCCAGTGGTGCTTCAGACTCCTGTACGATTGTCTCGACAGCTGTTACGCGTATAGCGACATGCTCTTCAGCGAATAGAGCGGCTCCTTCTTCCACCTCTGGCGTCTCTTCTGAATCATGACCTATCGTTTCCTCGATAGCAGCCGGGGGTGTTGCGTGGTGTTCTTCGGTGATAGGAGTTGTCTCTTCTTGCTCTTCAGGGACTGCATAGTCGGCAAGACTTGTCTCCTCTGCCAAGGCTAGGGGGCTAGAAGCCTCCTCGACGTCGGCTTGGGATGTCTGCGTAGGCTCTTCAACGACCGCAGGCTCTTCGAGGGCGTCCGATGCCAGGGATGCAGAGTTTTCGACGGCAGCAGCCACTTCTACGTCCTTAGGATCTACCGGCTCCTCAACAGTCAAGAGATCCTCCGTCGTGACGAGAGACTCGAAGTTAGGCTCGGCTTGACTGTAATCTTCATGCTCTGAGGCGGCGGGTCCCTCGACAGGTGAAGGTGCCGCAGTAGGTTCATCTTGAGCTTCAGGCGCAATCTTCTCGGCAACTGGGGGTATTTCATCTGCAACTACGAGTCCTTCGTCTACACCTGCAGGCTCCTGGGTAGATGTTGGCTGTGTCAGAGGTGTCGTGCCTGCTTCTGCATCGGCCTGAGAGACTTCTTCTGCGACCTCTACCACCTTGTCACTTGCTGCTTCCGGCTCTTGGGTATTTATGGGCTCCTCTGCTACAGCGGTGACGGCAGAAACGGCTTCATGAGCGTCTTCTGCGAGAGGAGTTTCCGGAATGGGATCTGCCTTGGTTGCTGGCCCATCGTTCAGGGATTCAGACTCGGCGGAAACGGAAGCGACGACGGGAGTCTCGGCAAGTGCTGTTTCGGGAAGATCCTCGGCGACTGCAACATTAGCTTCCGGTTCGATATCTTTACCCGCATCATCGACAGCAGCAGGGGCTTCGTCCGCAACCGCAGCAATGGTACCCTCAGGAATATCGGGCTCAGCTGAAACTACTTCCTCTTCCTCAACCGATCCTTCCTCCTCCAATGCTAAATCCTTGTGTTCGGATACCTCATCAACCTCATTGATGATGACTGGCGTGGCTTCGTCGGCAGGGACCGCTACATCATTGACGGTGTCAATAATAACCTCGTCAGCCAGTGCAGGCTCCTCCATTACAACGGGTTCTGGGGCAGGTCCTGCTCCCATAGCTGCTTCATCAACCTGTTCAGAATCGACTATTCGGGTATGATCGACGTCAGAGACGGCCTCGACAGCCTCTACTGCTGCGGCGTCTGCGACAGGCTCAGCGGTAGGAGCGGAAACCTCTTCGACAAAGGGAGATTCGATGGGAGCTTTCTCGGCTGCCTCAAACTCAGCAACTGTTTCTGTAGTAGGCTCGGGGGCAGGAATAGAAACATCGTCGACAATGCTAGCCTCGACAGATGGTTGCTCGATAACTTCGGGTTCCGCTGCTGATTCAGCTTCTGCAATGGGCTCTGAGGCAGGAGCAGGAACTTCTTCGGCACCATTGGACTCGAGTGGCGTCTCGACGACCTGCGGCTCAGTTGCGACAATGTCTGTTTCTGTCGGTATGTCTTCAGCCATCGGTGATGCTTCGACCGCCTCCAGCGCTGCAGGCTCTTGAATGGACTCGGCGACAGGTGCGGCAGTCTCCTCAATGGTGCTTGGTTCAGCTAGAACAGACTCTACGAGTGGGTCGGGAATTACCACCTCAGAGGCTTCAGGAATGACATCCGTTTCGTACACTGCTGATTCTTCAGTTGCTGGGGTAGCCTCCTCGGACTCTGTGACAGCGGTGGCAGCGGGTGATTCAGCATCGTCTGCTGTTGATGGGGTAGCCTCAGGTGCATCAGCGACAGTCTCGGACTCTGCAACGGCAGGTTCTTCTGTCACTGGTGCAGCGAATACTGGTGGTTCTTGGGCTGCCAGACTATCAACCACTGCTG